CTAAGTTAAACAAAGAGCGACTCATAAAATAATATCAAGAGTTGTGAAGATGTAAGAAATATTTTCGTATTTTACGAAAGGCAATCAGTTGAACGAAGTGAGAATCTACCCAATGCTTGCAACTAATTAGGCTTGTATTGAAATAATATCTGTTAATCTCTATATAGAAAGGTTAAGACTGATGTGATGAATTATTTCTTTCTACTGGAATCCACTAGTCTGCCATTATTCTGTCTATCGATGACATAGAAGTCTTTATTTATAATTACTGAATTACTACCATTAAAAATCTGCTTACCTATGGTACTGCTAAGTAACTTAAGGTTGTTTGTTAACATAGTCATCAGTAATTGTTCAGAAATGCATGTTTAAGGAAACTAGTCTTTGCTTTAAATTTGGATATTAAATTAGATAAAGGTAAATAGTAGACGAAAATAAAGGTGATCAGTAGAGACCTTTTGTAAGCTGCACTTTATACGAATATCATTCGTGTTAAACACGCTCATCAACTTACCACAGGATAAATTAGTTTGGTACTCTGTCGACGAGTTTTTGATGACTAAACAATAGTGTATAACTACATCGTTAATGTAGTACTAAAAAAACGGAATCACGAATGGAAATTAGTGGAAGTGTTAAGACTATGGTAAGAGATTGAACATACCTTTTTTGCACACACAGATCAGGTTTGAATTGATGAACTGACAGTACTTCCGCTGTGTACGCCTTCGACAGTTGTGCACAAGAAGTATATTCAATCTCTTATATTACCGTAGTCTTAACACTTCCACATTTTTCGACTTCACTATAATGAGTTAGTTCATTATTATTACCTTCACTACGAACCTTGTCTCATTCTTCACCTTTTTTACTTCTATCTATCAATTGGACACTCAATATTGGCATTTCTTATCTACCAACAATTTTCACCTTGCCTTCCTCGTTATTTCTACTATCTAAAAGATTATTCCGCAACTAATTTCTATCCCTGATTTTGTTTTTTTTAGCACTAGGTTAATGATGCAGTTATACACTATTGTTTAATAATAGACTGTTATATGTTTATAATATATATAAGAAAATTTTCTTCCCTGAATTATCTCTTCTTTTCTCTATGACTCAATGGGCATGTTTCATCGTCTTTTTGATTACCCTTAGAACTTAGGTAGTCTCTTTTAACTAAATAGGAAGCAATTTTGAATGCTGCTCATGATTACATATAGAATGAAGTTTTTCTGTTCTGTATAGTGCCATATTGTTAAATTTTATTGAACTGAATTATTTTATATTCATTTCTGGCGAAAATTTAGTTTGTAATGTTGGAATCAATTTATCTTAAACTTCATGCGTATGCAGAAGATTTATAACAAACGAAGTAACATGAAACGAAGTTACCATATCGTCTTGAAGTATTTATTTGTTGTTCTTATTTCACAAGCAGATGTTCAGCGTTTCACATTGATCTTTCAAAATCTTCGTTTCCCCATTCCACTTATATTTTATTATGTTCACTGTTATCACTACCATGGCTACTGTTACTGGAATCACTGATAATATTGTTACTATTGTTAGTGGGATTGCATTTGCTGGTTTTAAAAAGTGATTCTTCTCTGTCTTGCTACAATAATTTGTAGCTACGGGGAATCGATGCAAGGATTGACGAAGTTCTTGTCCATAAGAAACCTTATTTTCTTTCCGTTAGTAGAAACTTGATATGAAGTTATAGCTATAAATATCATGTTAACGGCATTTATGTGACCTAAGTATCTGAATACTCATTTTGACCGCGAGTGTATAAAAGTAATTTCATGGTGATCTATGAGTTAATACTAAAAACACTAGTTAGTTATTTGCTAACAGTGAAGTTGAACTTTAGATATACCCTCAATGCTGATTTATATAACTTACCGATGCTATTGACAATCCATATGTAACTAAAAGAAACTGTGCTTCACAAAAAATGAAAAGTAGCATCATCTACTGATCCAGTTTTCTCTCTTTTCAAGATCTTCCTCGAATGTTTCATTCATTTTGGGATATATGCTGTTCTCCTGATACTAATGTGGCAGAAGTCAAAGGAGAAATGAGAAAGTCGATTTCTAAATAAATTTTAGAGTCAACATCCTTCTTTGCTTTTTGCATTTAGAACCAGTCTATACTGTAATGTAGAACTTGCATGTCTGGATATTAGGCTACTCATAACAATCACGAACTAAAATGGAGGAAATTCCTTGTGAGTATGGAATAAAGTCTCCAAAGAACAGCCTATTCAGGAATGAATGCAAGAAAGATTCACCAACAGGTAGAAGAGATTACGGCACCGAAAAGAACTGTTTTGACAGCTCTAAACGTCTAGTATTTATGCAGATGTCCTTTAATATAAACTATTTAGAGGAAGATTTGGCAAGATCATAAAACAACCTACCTATTTCGTAGTCTACTTGGAGGATAGAAGTGGAATTTAATATGTGCCTTCTTCCCATTTGAGACTCGTCAGCTGGATATGCCTGCAATCCAGTGAGTGATGTTGCCACCGCTGAGACTCAAACCTTGTATCCATTGCTTCAAAAGCCAAGGCGTTATGCAATAGTCCATTGGGTCATGAGAGCAATGACTATCAGTTGCTGTTGATTGATACTTGTAATTTCTTGTTGCACATGAACCTATCTGCTAACAGGAGTCGAGCAATTTGACCCAGTATTGCAACGGGGAATTGCAAGCATCAATCAAAAACCTACCTGATTGTTTAGAAAAAGAAATGGTTTTAACTCTCAACAGCTTCATTATATGTATTATTTGGAATATAATGCAGCGAGCAGATACACAACTCTCTCAGTATTAATATGAGAAGGAACAAAAATCTTGGTAACTTCTAATAACATGTAGATGCTAGTCTATGGATAAAAATATGAATGTAATTATTCCCTTGGTAAATATCTGAAGACAGGCAAAAAATGGATGCTTATTTATATAGAAATCCTACTGACTAGGAATTTTAGAGAGAATTTGTGTAGGCAAAAGGAAATGGCATTTATCATGGTGGTATTTTACGTCAGGTATAACTATTGTAACGAACAATCGTTGATAAGTTTTCATCTAGCCTGTAGATAGGTACGTTGTTGCAGGAGAGTGCATAGTAGTGTGAGTTCAGTGGTTGCTACGAGAATCTGGAAAAGAAAAAGAAAGAGAAAAAAGGTGAGTTGACAACTCAGCAAGTACATAGGATGTACTTACATTCAGTAATAAAAGATAACTGACAAACGGTAGATCTGGACAACGAAGAGGTTAGGCAATCTAGAAATCGGAACTCTAAGGTGAATGAATAAGATTTCGAATGCGCTAAACTATCACTTCATTTCTTTTGTTGCGTTTTAATTGATTCTCTGTTCCACCAAATAAAAGGCAGTTGCTTTCAATTCACCTTATTATCCTTTAGAAGTCATATCATTTAACTGCTAAGCACTTGATCTGATTATTGTAGCCTTTTACTGCGCTTATATTTGTTTTCATCTGATATAATGTTCCCTGCTTGTTTTAACGTCCCATCTAACGATCATTACTTGCAGTTTTCATCGTTGTTCCCTTATGTATTATTCATTGTACAGAGATATGACTGAAGTTGAAGTAAAGGCCAAAGTCATATAGAGATTTGAGCCACTGGCGTCGGAGTCATAGTTACAGGGGCCATTGGCACCTCATAATAAACCTTACTACTACCCAAGTTGTCTTTCAGTTTCATTAATTATTTCAATTTAACCAGATACGTTAGACATCTAAAGTTATTTTCAATGGTTTAAACATCGGTTACGTATCGTCTCAGTTTATAAACTATTTGTGTATATCTTTACATAAAAATTCGAATGCATTACGTAAATGTATGAGATTTTTTGGATGTTTGGAATGATGTGCTTTAAATTTGATTCGGAGTCAAGAAAAGAATGCCTTACCAAGTGAGTTATTTATTCACTATTTCTCTTACGACTGAAGACTAGGAACTTTGTAATGTTAACTGATGATGATTAGCTTAATAGTATCAGTCCTGCAAAACAGTCTTTGTCACCAAGATAAGAGTGCTGCAAACATGAGATTTCATTTTACCTGTTTAGTGCAAGTCCGTCACTGTTACACTCAGATAAGTTGAAGCAAGTTAGTTAAATTCTTTTGAATATGACTGACTGAGATCGAACACACAAAAAGACCTTGAAAACACTGGACTTTTTTAATATCAAAAACAGATGCATTACATTATCACCATAAATTAATTCTGGATTTCATCAGACGCATTCCGAATCATCTGCTGCTAATTTTTGTTGATGGTGCATACCTTCAGCCAGACAGAATAGCCCTGCCAGACATCCCTCAAAAGTCACGTGAAAATCAGCTGTCATTTAATAACTTTACAGATTGTACTGACATTTTCATTCAAACAGACTGATTCAATCCAATCATTTTAAATATTCCACTTGTGTAAGAAATGATCATCAGGCGAAATATTTGATTCTTTTACAACAAGACTAGTTGAATGTCTGTTCTGTATTTAGAGCAGTGTGTTTTGCTAAGCAAAATTTTCTGACTGTCATTTTAAGTTCAACCACTTGTCTGTCTATAATAAAAAGATGGAAATTTTACAACAAGATCTGAGGTGTAAATACGAAGAAACAGTTGTGTGTATTCAGTGTATTATCTTAATGACTGAAAAGTGTGCGCTAAAGATTTCAAATGTTTTACTCAGTTACATGTGAACTTAGTTTTCACTGTAGACTGGATACGAAATTGATTTGTTGATACCAAGTGCTAAAGAATCAGAAACCTGAAAGAATCAACTGTTCATTGCTACCCAGTTCTTACTGCTGCTTTATTCATTTGAATCCAAGATGAAATAACTTTGAAATCAGTTCAGATAACAGTATTATGTAGTTGGCATGATACCAGCATTTATTATTTAGTGTTTACAAGATGAAAATATCTGATTTTTTATTGTTTATGTTCTTGGATTACAGGTCATTGGTTTAATCACATTTATTGTGGGTATCGTGGCCCGTGTCAATGGTAGTTTTGGTATTTTGGATGCACATATTCCAGCTGTTCATGCAGGTAACATACTTATTGTTATGCTGATAATGTTTCTGCTATTCTTTCATATTCATGCATTTAGGCGAATTCTTTTTAAAAGTTCAGCATTATTATTTTAATGGTGAACACACAGATACTAATAACTACTACAGATTAAGATATGTTTTAGTAATTTGACTTGCGTTAGCTAACGAAATTCAACCAGCACTATGAATTTAGAAAATCCAGTTTTACAACTTGCTTGTTTTGTACTGAATACATATTTCTTTCCATTGACCATACACGCAACTAAGTACCTGTTCACTGAGTTTGCATTATCACTCACTTCGACTGCCTGAAGAAATGTTAAAGTAAACCAATCTTAATGGGAGTCCTAACGGGAACAACATCACCCACTGAAGGGCGATTATATCCGACTGACGATTTCCCAATAGGACATAATATGCATCCTAGATAATACTGCTAACCCCAGGCAATCATTACTATCAAGTCAGTTACAGTTTACCTTTCTTCAAGTGGCTGTTTATTTACAAGTCAACTAGCTAACAAATGTCTACTGAGAAATCTTATTTCTATCGGTATTCAAACTTCTCACTGGTCAAATGATTGTCTTTGTCATACATTTCAAACTGCACCTAACAAACAATAGGTTGTTGAGTTTCTTGTTAGTGGGAACTGATTAATTTCAAGGTAGTATTCATCACAAACTGACAACAGTAAGAGAACACGTGAGTACTAGGGAGCTCTAGATAGTGGTTTCGTCTTAGTTTGAGACTTCACAGTGGTGTACATCCACGAACCTGGGAAGATCTAACCACAGAACCATCGGTGTGCTTCACGGGGAGAGGTGTATGAACCACTGAGGAATTCCATACTAGGACAAAGTAGTCGTTCAATGCCTGCTGCTTATCACTGGTTGTCTATCTCAAATAATTACTTCATGAATGCTATCATGAAAGCAATAAATGTTATTTATCTGTCTAATAACTGAGTGTACCGTCTTCAGATTTTCAGTGGACAGCAACTGATTGTTATTATCTAAGCGTTGTTTGACATAAATAGCATCATAAAAGGGATATAATATCATCATCTGAATAATTTCTCCACAAAAGGTTGAAAAATTCACTGGACGTAAAACTGGAGGTAGTATATGTGAGTAGCTGTGGACTGGATCATGCAACAAACCGTGACTAGCTGTTGCAAGATGGGTATACGCTGACTGGACCGATGAAAAGACCCCACAAGATGATTTGGATTTCGCCAACAATGATGATTTGTGTCCAATGTCTCATTGCATAAACTCGGAGATCTACAGACAAAGATCAACAAGTTGACAGAAGAGGTGAGGTGAGGTGAGGTGAGGTGATGCAGTGAAGGATGATGGGACTTCCTTCAGATGAACATAGAGAAGACAGAGATGATGAAGATACCCAACCACCACCACCACCACCACCTCCACCACCACCACCACCACCACCACCACCACCACCACCACCAACAACAACAACAACAACAACAAGAGGCACCAATCACCATGAATGGGACAAACCTGAAGGAAGTGGTCTCTCCCACCTATCTAGGCAAAGCAGCATCGTTTCAATTACAGGTGGTGGCACAGGCACAGATGATCGGTGAGACAGTATGACAGGCCTTCCTGCATTAATCTGAAATCAGTGTGGAGATCTACTGCACTGCACTGTGCTGCACTGCACTGCAGTTCACTTCACTGCTCTGCACACAGCATCATGCGTGAACGACATCCGGATTTTGAACACTAATTCAGTCAAGGGAGTCAGTGCTTCTATGTGATGGTTGGGAGAGTTGGTGTGTCTCACACGAAGCATTTCCAACAAACTCCAGACATGCATCATCAACAACTGCTGCCTACACTCCGTCCCTCAATACTGAAAATCAGATGGTGAGAAAAATAAGAATGAGCGTGAGGGAACTGTGGTTTGTTGTCTGGCTGGCTGGCTGACTGGCAACGATCCACCGAAGCAGGAACCCATCACCCATTGAATATGCAGAAGGAAGTGGATATGAATTGGATTGGGTATACAGTGAGAAGACCGATTGTGGACATCACGCGCCGGGTCACGTCACGCCACGTCACGTCAGGCCAGGTCGTCGAGTGGAACCCACATGTGAAACGACGAGTTGGGTGTCGAAGTGAGGTTGACATGGAGGAGATGGTGTTTGGAATGAATGTATGATTGTGGTCTGACAGTTGTGGAGCGAGTTAGATAATGCTGGAGAGCAGAGAGTGGAATGGAGACATGTTACTGAAACCCTATGTTCCACTAGGAATCCAAGGAGCATATATTTATGATGATAATATGTAATTAGCCAATTTAACCATAAAATTGGAAATCAAGTTTTGCAAACAGGAAATAAAGATATTTTATCATTCCATTTTTGTAATGAGTTGACCGAGGAAACTGGAACATAAATAACGGTCCTAAATCCACCGACTTACTCAAAATGTTTATGATGAGATATCTTATGCTCCCAGAGGATTGGAAGCGTCATAAGACTAAATCTAGGATGAATTTTGCTCAAAAGAAATACATTCTATACAAAAATTTCTATTCACAGAAAAATACTTCATTCCCCTGAAGAACAAGATGAACATTTAGCAACCATTCACTGGTTTGGAGATTTTACTACTTAGGTTAAAACCAATCAAACACCATCAGTTTGTCTTGAAGGTTTAAAGCCTACTTCATTAGTGATACAAATGTGTGCCAGTGGTTTAAAACTAGTCATTTTGATCATTAGTTTCATGTTTCATAATTTTATGACAGCTGTATCAAAGTTTTCAGTTTTTGGTTGTAGCTGGTGGTTTACAGAGGGAGTCCTGTTAACACAACATCATACAGTTAAAAACCCATCGAAGTATCAGAAATATCGATGTAGGCCACAGAATTTGAAATAATTTTGTGCATATCATTATTTAAATCTGTCTCGTTAATTCATAAATTTTACTGAAAAAAAAAACGGAGATCAATATAAAAGTTTGAATGAACAATCGTTTTTTGTATGAACATACAAAGAATAAAGAAAATACGATCAGACAGAAGGATTAGAAAATTTTAATTTAAAAATCTAAAGAATAAATGCTGAATAGTAGTAGTTTTTGATCTAAATATTCTAATCTATAGGTTTTACCAACTTGATTCTAGTGATATAGAAACTAAACAACTATTTTACTTGTTTATTTTATTGAAGTAATTGAACAGTGATAGTGGTTTACCTTCATAAATATCCAAAATGTTAACTATACTTAGCTGGGTTGTACTTTGGACTGCGTGAAAATTTAGAGCGTTTTACTTTCATCACAGTTAAATGACTATTTCAGTTAGGGGATAATATTTTTTTCTTCAAGTAGTATCCTCCAAGGTATACACTTATTGGTGTTTCAGCTGAGACTGCTATGTCGAACAGTGGTTGGTGCTCTTGTAGTTCTTCCTAAAATGTGACTTTTGACAGTCACTAAATGGACACTAGTGTTTCTTATACTGGGTGATGATTGGGTAAGATGGAAATCTGAGCCTCGGCAAGATGCATATCAGAGATAGCCGGGTGACTGATGCGGTGCTCTGCCAAATGAGCTATGAGACCTAAAGTCTATTCTTACAGTTTTGTCTGGTGTTAAGATTGTATATTTGTTGTTGGTAAACCGATCAGTTCACACAACATAACATTCCTATAAGTATAGAGCTGTAAGTATGATAGCCTCAGAATATGTTAATACGGTAAAGATTATCAAATTTTCTGAGTGATGAATATATTAACCGTCAATATGTTGGTTTTTAAATAAGCAAACATCATGATGTTAAATATTGTCTTTGTTAACTGCATGTCGCTTCGAATACTCCGCTAATAGGTTCACCTAGTGAAACACTCTTTGATATATTGTCACACAGTCTATCTACTCTCATTGTTATTATCATGTTCCATTATACTTACTAAAGTGAGTTTCACTAGCAGAAATAAATTTCGAGGAAAATCCTGGATTGTATCCAATAAACAGAGCTGTTGTTAACAGAATAAATGTAAATTATTTGCTTAATTAGTTTAGCTAAAGTGCAGAAAAGCAATTAGTACTTTTCAAACCGTAATGATTTTTCATAGTAGATTGTGCCACCACCTGCAAATCACAAGAACACAGTGTGAACGTTGCACGTGACTAAACGTTTCTATTTAACCTTAAAGTGTATAATGTAAATGAATAAAAGGATTCAATGTAGGATAACTTGGTGAAATGATATACAATAGGCAATCCTTTGAAAGCTTCTTTTCAAACATTACAATGTGTACGTATATATATATATATATATATATATATATATATATATATATATATATGTAAACCAATTTCTGGACATAAATAATTGATTGGTGTATATTATTCTGAACCAATCTCAATAGAAAGCTAATTTAGAAAATAAGTAGAAAATAAATAAGACCAGAATGCCTTGAGGTTGCCTGGAAAATACATTATTTACATAAATCTAGATAGATGCTCAACTGTTCTTCAATGCTTGAAAGGAGTCGAACAAGTAGTTTGAGAACTTTCGACAAACAAATCTTTTAAAAGTTATCTAGGTTGGTTAAAATTTGGATTGAGAAGAATCGCTGTTTCAGCAGACGGCTAGAAACTTTGAAAAATGGAAGTTTACTTGTTACAGCCACAAGCAGTGGACGACAAGTTACAATATAACGAAGCGAACTAATCTATGGTTTTCCAATAATAGGTAAAACTGAATACAGAAACTCTGTTAGGGAGTAAAACTTCATAAGCAATTCACGAATGCCTATCTACAAAGAGAGTTTCTTCTTCTCAAGAATTCCAATAAACGAAGATGAGCAATAGTAGCGGAATTATTATTATTATTATTTATTAGTCCCTTGGGTTCCTAATGGAACATAGGGCTTCAGTAACACGTCTCCAGTGAACTCTGTTCTCCGAAATCTTTTCAACCTGGCTCCATGACAGCTCACAACCTCTCATTTCCTCTTCGCACCATCTCCTCCATGTCACCCTCGGACGTCCAACTAGTCACTTCCCATGGTGATTCCACTCGAGGGCCTGACGCGTGATGTCTCCAGTCGGCCTTCTCAGTGTATCCCCTATCCAATCCATCTCCACTTCCTTCCAGTGCATATTTGTTGGTTGATAGGTTCATGGTTGGTTCGTTCCCAGAGCTCCTTGTTGCTTATTCTCATTATTCTGGCCATCTGATCTTCAGTAGTGAGCCAGTGTAGGCAGTTGTTGATGAATATGTGTAGTTTATTGGAAATGCCTTTCGTAACGCGCCAAGTCTCTGAACCATACAGAAGCACTGACTTGACTGTCGTGGGTGTTGAAAATCCTTATCTTGTTCCACATGCTGAGTGCAGAAGACCTCCACAGTGGCGGAATTAGCATGCATATATTTTGCGGACTCTCCTTAACCGCTTCACAAACTACAGAATATAATTTTTGTGATAAAATAGCATGCTATACAATATAGTCTTATAAGTCGTCAAGAGTGTCTCGATTGAGATAGAAAGTAATAATGATTTAGGTTGACGAAAATTGATGAAATTCGATGAAGCTCTTAAGACTACTCAGTAGTTGATTATCTACAAGATGATAGAATGAACATTGTAGAGAAGACACAGAAAAAGATGGGAGGGTGCTATACACATTATTATTCTAGAATTGGTAAAAGTGACATCAACATTAAGTAAGCGTGTTAAGAGAGTAACAGACTTTTATTAATTTGAGTAATAAGATGAATACAACTCAGAAAGTGAGACTAAGTTTTGAACTAGATCGAAAGATAAAATTTAGAAAACAACAGAAGGTCATGAGGTCATGAAATTTTGTAGTTACAAATTTAAGAGATTGAAACTACCAAAGTAAAGCAAGATTGATGACAGTATCGTTCTGAATGTGGAGATGGATTGGACATGCACTGAGAAGGCCAACTGGAGACATCACGCGTCAGGCCCTCGAGTGGAATCACCAGGGGAAGCGACGAGTTGGACGTCCGAGGGTAACATGGAGGAGATGGTGGGAGGAGGAAATGAGAGGTTGTGGGCTGTCATGGAACCAGGTTCAAAAGATCTCGGAGAACAGAGGTCATTGGAGACGTGCTACTGAAGCCCTATGTTCCACTAGGAACCCAAGGGACTAACAATAATAATAATAATCGTTCTGAATACATAGAATAGGTATGCATCTTGACCACAATGTTCATTTCATCATTGTACAAATAGTTAACCTTTGAGTAGTCTTAAAAACCTCATCAGATTTCATCAATTCCCATCAATCTAATCATTGTTACCTTCCATCTCAATGGAGACATTCCTGTCGATTTATGAAAGAACGTTGTATAGCATGTTTTTTATCCTGAATTTTATGTTCTATGGGCTGTAAAGCAGCTGAAGAGAATCCACGAAACACACCCATGCTGATTCTGCTACCATTGCTTCTTTTGCTTTGTCCAAAAAGAGTTCCTGCAAAGTAACTCTCCATATTAATCGTATTCTAACATCATCATCTTTAAACTCCATTCATGAATCATACAGAATATCTACTTACATATTCAAAACAAGGTCCATTAAGTCTACAGATTTTATACAAAACACTTGTCAAGAAGTTATTCACTGAGATGTCTGTTTCTGACCAGTGTTAAAAATATCTGAAAACTCAATAAAACTAATGCCTAGGTTTCTTAGTCCAATATTTTGGACAGGCTGTTTAAGACGCCCCCACTGTGATGTATTGATGGTAATAAACACATATACATAATTGAATCATATGTGAGATGACTTCATATTGAGTTTCAACTCCAAATAGCCGTTTTCTTTACTGCCCTAAGTCAGTCAAGGGGTTGATTTCAACGACTAACCCAGGTGACATGATATTACAGTATTAAGTCATCAAGACCAGTATTGTATTGTTTTTTTCACCAACGTATTTAGTCTCAAGGACAAATAAGGCCTAGGCCAAGAGATTTCTGATACTATCAAAAATGACAGAGTATCAACGCTGAATGAAAAACAAATACTATGGTTATTTAGAGCTACAAAGGCTCTCAGTTATCACCAAATCACAGACTATAGAGTTGAGTCATCTTGCAGACTGCTATTTGTAACCCATACCTTATATTGAAAGGTTCCTATCAGTTCTAAAGACTTGGGAACGGATCAGGCTAGCGCTTCAAATTAACAGTTTTCACTAAATGCGTTGTGAATATTTTTGCGTTAATCAAATTAAACTGTCGTACTTTTTCTGGTAAACTTGAGGAGGAATTTAGATCAGTTAACTTACTCAAAAGTCAAAAACATTGATATGACTTTCATATTCCTAGGTGACATTTAATTTGATGTCTGTTTTCTTGTCAGAGAATCATACTTTAATTTTGATCATGGAAGTAGTCAAAAGTTTTTAAAGCAAACGTTTTGGGTTCTATCAGCTCATTTATTTGTCAGTAAATGAGTGCTAAGTTTCTACCTGCTTTTATGTAGAATAACTCACTAATTCGGAACTGTTAGTATGCAATGTGAATGCCAAAAAGCATAAAACTTTGTTGAAGTTCGGCTTGGTGATGACTGACTGTGACTTTCGATCGGAACGTTCTACTCTCACTGAATAACAAACTGCTAATAAAGTATGTAAAGGAATTATGTATGTCTTCAGCCTACTAGCTGATCTATCTTGGAACATTAAATTTCTATTCACTAATTGAATTCCTGTCAAAAAGATGACAAAGACCGAACAATGGAAGCAGCAATAGTAAAAAGAATGAATGAAATGATGAGACAGAGTAAATATTAGACACTAATGAAGGCTTATTAGTCCTATGTGTAAAGTAAAGCATGGATACATTTGAGATAAGCTGTTGAGATTTACTTCTAATCGTGTCAATTGTCATGTCCCTCAGTGACGCAAATCAAGGTGAAACATTTTTATTACATACTTCAAATCTTTTGGATATGTCTATCTAGTGAAAATGCTTTAAGCCAGGTGATATTTCGCACCTATGATCAATACTTGAAACTATGCCCGACACAACCTTTTGTCTTACTATGCTGAATGAAACACATGTGGTGATTGGTTTAAATCGGCTTTAACGAAATCATCAACGGCATTGCGTTTATCCCACTGAAGTCTACAGCAGAGATTCTTCACTTTTACATGTTGTAAACGGAAATGACTACTCATTACTGACACTAGGTATTAACACATACGTTATGAAAAATGACAGTGACTGTTTGATTGGAGTCAACCTGAGACCAAAACTTTAATGGAACATGAAATTTGCCTCAAGATTGAGTTATCTGGAGTTTTAACTATTGATATTATGGTAAATTGTAAATGCCACTCGAAATGATAACATAGTTGACAAGAAACGGTCACCGTCTGTTTAAATATTCCTCAAAAATCTGCCCGACGGTGAGCAAACTTCGCTTTCATTTATGCAGCCTCCAAGTTAACTCGCATTTGATAATTTCACATCTTACGGGACATAAATTAGTTCTTATTCGTAGTTTCATCTTTGAATTTAGTACTTCAATGCTTATCTATTGTATAAAATTTAATTGAAGCAATGCATGCAATTTATTGTTTCATTTGTCATTTAGGTGCTAATTTACTTATTGCTGTTGGCTTCTTCATTATGATAATGGGATTCTTGGGGTGTTGTGGAGCGATTCGGGAAAGTCAGTGTCTCTTGTTCCTAGTGAGTTGGTTTTTATTTATGGTCCGTAAATGACTTCAATGAGTGCTTTGTCGAAATTTCTAGATAGCGAAGAACAAATTGTTACAAATAATGTGGGGCTATTAAAACGTGTGCTAGGATCACGTTAAAAGTATGCCATGTTCATTCTTTGAAAGTTGGAATCACTTTTGTTGACCAGTCATACGGGCGATTCCTCAAACCGTATTACGTATGCCGGCGAAAATGACTGGGTGGTCGAACTTGATAATGTGCTTAACCATAATCAGATGGTAACCATGCTGAGGCCCAATTAAATGAATTACCGATCTCTTACTGACAAGGTCAACAAGAAGGACTTTAAATAGCTTCATAAGATCGTATCTAACTTCAGTCTTTATGTAAATTTCCTCAATTACTGTCACACTTCTTATCATCGCAATTCACTGATGATCAGTCTGCGCCTGACAGTGTGAAAAGAGATAACGTTAGGTATAAACCGAGAGGTTCTATTGATAGTAAATAAGCGAGTTCCAGACCAACAGGAAGGAGACGGGACGTTCTATAGCAAGACGATTAGACTAGCATTAAATGCTAGACATATAATCGGATACAATATGGAATTCCTGCCACGAGGTTACGGCAAAAGAATGAATTGACTCTACACTGCCAAATGTTGTATTTAGTTTCGGTTACTCAGTGCGGCACTTTGTAAATGAGATTGAAATAATGATTGGTAAACTTGTTGTCAGTGCAAGTAGCTGTTTATTTTATGCCACACCAAGAAACAATACTTAGTGAAATCCTGAAACCAAAACAACAATACCCAGTAAAAAGAAGGAGGAAACTGAGAACATCTTAGTTTTGATACAACTGTAAAAAGTTGGCACAACTTCGCATGCATAAACACAAAATAATGACTTATGCTTTTGTGTACCGCAGAATATCATCATTCCGTGTTTAATAGCTGATCACATTGGGTTTCATTCACTATTTTTGGTAGCACTAAAATTCTTAAAAGTAATAATGTAAGAGTAAAACTTGGATAATGTTTCCATTTATATTGAATTGTATTGTCTTTTTTTCCCTAATTTTACAGTTCTTTACATTTGTCTTCTTCTGCTTCACTCTGCTTATGGCAGCTGGTTTGTGGGCTGTTGCATGGTCGTCTAAGGTAAGTGGAGTTGTTATCCATTGTTAGTAATTATGTGAGTATACAAAAAGTAACTGTATACGTGGTTAAGCATTCAACTTATTATATCTCAAATCTGAAAGAACTTGTGGAATGCAATAAATGATTTTATTTTAAGACTTGTCTTCCACTGTAAAAGTCTTAGAATAAGATGATTAATAAGCTAAACACATTCAGTTTTCTCAGGTAAGATGAACTTAAACCATGGTTCTATGAAAAAGAAAGGATGATAAGAAAGTTACAGGTGACAGCAGAGTAGACTTACCATTGATAAGTGTTCACTTGAGAAGAAGACACATGAACCATAAGTAGTGCTCTGCCACAAAGTTTGTCGCTTAGGTAAAACCAGCGGGTTTGAGAGTTAGAAAAGGAGGAGTTTAAGTTGTGTAATGAGAATAACTTCAATGTAGTCACGGTATCTTTTTGTACGTTGTTGTGTATGAATATTGAGAGCTATGCAATCAATTCAAATGAGCTCAGATATTACTTCAGAACGGGCAAGGTTTCAGTGCAGCTATGTAATTATTATTACATGCGAATCACATATTAATAGCAGTGTTGGTAACTCATGTCCAGTTTCCGGTAACACAAACGTAAGTTGAATGAACTGCTAAACATCTATTTCAATCAAGATAATAATTAACTTCACTGCGTGACAGAATAAACTGTTAGTTTACATTCGCAGGTAAACGATTTTGAAAGTCTACCTTGATCAGTGAATACTTGCTTGAATAATCTGTTTTACATTATAACTCGACTTTTAACTTTACTAAAGTTATCTATGTACTAAAAGTATTGACACAGGATAAGAAATTGTGCACTGTTGACTAATTTATACTTTATTAACTTTATTTGATATACTTGCGTTTATTTGTTTGGTTTATTCTATAATAGGATAGTATTTTCTGGATTGCACTTCGAGCACACTTTATCTCTCTTGATCATGTCCTTGTAATCGCACAACTTTCTGGCTTCCGATTCTTCTACCTTATTGGTAACAGAGCTTTCCGGAATCGTTTTTGGATGATTTTTTTGCACACATTAGGCTTTGTCCAGACCAATCAGAGTTCAGTAGCCATTTTTTTCCCAACCTGATTATTTTGGACCTAAGAACGACTACTATGCTCTCTTCTGTAGTGGGATTCCGTTAATGCCTTTGTGACACTTTGTTTATCAGATTCAAAAAAAATAATTTAACTGATTGCATGATGTATAATAACTGTCGAGTCACGCGTATTAGCTGAGTCATCCGATTGGGTTACTTAAGTTATCAGAGCATAGATCTTAGGTAAATCTGAAATGATAAACCTTACTAAGAAAGACGGTATACAGAAAACTCAACAACTGTCACACTGTATGGTAGTGTAACCAAAGAATCACTGGAAGCAGTTACACCTGGATGGTTGTTTGGTTTAACTTTGAAGTTTTTAATCAATAATGAAAGTTTGATGGTTTTGACAATGATGATATAAAGTTTACATTCTTCAACTTCACTCAACTCGTGGTTTGTAATTGACTGATTTTAAGAATTATCCACTTTTAAATTTCGACACAAAATATTGTTCACGATGCTATCTTTCACTGACTTGAGATCTCTGTGCTTGACAATATGAAGTGGTAGTTTATCATTTTATAGATACTCTTATTTTAAAGAAGACGTACGATCAGCTTTCCTAGGTTTCAAATGAAATTTTGCGTCATCTGAAAACTCAGTCTAAAATGTATGTTGGAATATCCAGTAAGCATTGAGGGTTCTTTATAACTACTGATAGAGCATTATCTGACACTAAAAGACACAAGAATCCATAAGAGAGCCTTAATATATGTTTTAACAGTATTTCACGATGGTCTAGAGGGTTTAGTTCCAACTTGAAGCACACCCAAAGCAGATCTAGTGCGAAATACCATATCTGTCGACAGATTGATTCAATCACTCAGTATTGTAAATTTGGGTTCGACTGTAAAATTGATTATTTTCACTCGACAGGCTTACATCATTGGTGACGTCTAATGTGACAAATAAACGTTCACGAATGAAACTATGAGTATTCATGATGGTAACTTTATATTTAAGAAACAAAATTCTTGTGTTTTCAGAGTGTAGATGATTTGCATTTTATTTGCATACACTAAAAACATTACTATTGTACTTTTATTTAGGTGAATCACTACATGTATCGTTATTTAGAAGAACAGGTGATTAGATATCGTGAGATGGAACCAGAAAATGAAAGTACAAAGTTAATGGATTTTGTACAAAAAAAAGTAAGTCATAATATTATAACTTTCTTTCTATTCGAAGTGATATATTTCTTTTGTTTAAGAAATGGAACAGTAGATTTTTAAGTATAGAAACCTTTAAATGATTTAGATAATTCTATGCTAAAATAGCATCCTAGATGTATTTTTTAGGAAGCTCTGATGCGGAAGCTTCATACCTGTGACTTCCATAAAATCGGTATACACTCAAACACTAAAATATCATATTTTCCCTTTTTATTTTAGTTTAAACCATTTAAAACAGTTAATCAATTCAAAAATTGGTTAATTAACCTTTTGATGCCTTTAAGTTAAATCCAACAAAACGGTCATTCAATTCTTTCCAATCCTGTTAATGTTTAATGTCACATTAGATGCTATTTACTAGTTAAAAATCTTTATGTCCTTAAATATGATACTTAATGAAGACATATACATAAAGCAACCTTTGGCAGCCTCAACATATGTTATTAAGATAATTAACCGATTCGAAATGAATTACTTAAAAGAAAAGAATTTTTAGTCACTGTTTTATTTTTGTTTGATTTAGATAATTAGTTAGAACTACTTTTCTTTACGAATTGACTACATGAAACCTGATGGTTTGTTTGTTATCGGACTCTCGTCATATACATAAAAAACCCACAGGACGTTTTTCGAATTACAGCGTTTCCGCATCAGTCTGGTAACCAAATACCTACCGATGACCTAGAGTACTGTACTGCAATGAGTTATAAGACGTTAAATAACTTTGAAACATAATTGCTTTAGGTTAAGAATGTTCATTTCCTCAGGAAGTTAACCATTGTAAATTTCTAGGTATGAATGATATTTGATAAAACAACCGAAAGGATTTGAAATTTCACCAGTCGATATGGTTGCAAATTATACTAATATCATTGTGCCGTCACATTCTCTTGTCTGCAGTGTTGGCTGAAGTAAGATTAGGTTTGAAAGTTAAAGGTGAGTAGATTAATGTATGTCACCAAACCAGGGATACTTTTGCCAGCAATCTGAAGTAGGTTAAAATGTGTTGAATTCCATGTCATAACCAAAATCTCAGGTTCAAAAAATTAGATGGTTAAGGACAGAATCTGTAACAGTACCAAAGGTGCATGCATACTATATCTTAATGAACGGGTTTAAAATCTTATTGTCACGTCTGTGTTGTATTGATTGCCATTTCACTTTGCTTCTTAGTTTTTGATACGATTGATGTTAATTTTATTCTGATGTTGTGATGCAAAGTATGAAAACCTGAACTGATGAACAGCTATGCCGGGTCCTGGCTTTTTTCTGTCAGTCTGAGTGTTAGTCTAAGTCCTTTTTAGTTTTATTCAATGGTGTTACACGAAATAAATAATATTGACCGGTATCATTGGTATGCATACACTTAAGGGAAAAGGGGAAAGTCAATACCAAACCAATTCGATTTCGAGCTTGGTTAATAAGTTTTATTTTTCTGTTCAGTAAGTTGTACCACTGAGGCAGATTAAAAAACCTTTAGATATTTATGTTAAGCATTCACTGTTTCTTAGTGATATATATATATATATATGTTCTGGTAATAAAGTAAAATAGGTTTAAACACACATAGGAACTCTCAGTTCATCAATGAACTTACTCCTACTTGTACCGATAGCAATTACGTCAACTTTCTTCCTTCTTTCAGTCGTATGAACACTTATGTGTGTGAAATATTTTAAGAATATAGTCTGCTGACGTTCAACAATATTATACTTATTCTGTGCGTGTACGAGATATAAAGCGAAGGCCAACAACATTAAGGACATAAACATCTGCTTGAAATATTATTTCATAAAAATTAGCGGAATGAAGATTATAACAGCTCTTGATTCACTGTGAAGATTGCATTTAACTTCTGATAGAAACACGTTTAGGGATTAGAGGATATGTGCGAATGAATAATGAAACTAGTCGTTCTAATGGAATTACAATCCTTCGTAGTTTGGAGGAAGTTTCCAGTGAATGTTAATTTTAAGTGTACGTTTCCAATGATAATAAATAGTCGTTCAGCATGAGATAGGATATTACGAGTTTTTCTCTCCTAATTGGTAGATATTGTTCACTGAAAATAAAAGTGAACCACATAATTTTTCAATATTTAGTGAGTGTTACTGGTTGATTTTATCTTCAGCAGAAAGTTTATTAAAGGCATCTGACTGCTCAAAATAGTTGGATGTATTAATTATTTAGAAGTGTTAAAAACTGAGCGCTCACCAAATTGTTGACCAGCATGTATATCCTTCAGTCCTGTTGAGAAGATTACCTTCTGTTCCTCAGCCTTTTGAAGAATATATCAATAGTCAGCCTCAGAACTGAAGTTTGAAGATTATTACTTGACAGCTGCATTTACCTGGTAACTTGGTACCACTTATTCATCAACCAAGTATCAAACTTATTTCTCACCACTTATTTAAATTTCTTCACTAGAGCTTTGAAGACATTTTTTTCCAAGCTCAAACGTCTAACCAACATTTTTCTGTTCCCACTGGTGTGAAGAATGCATATGTGGAAAATGAAAACCACTGACAGTTTTTTGTGTAAAATTATTAGCTTACCGAATCTCCTATCATATCACATACTCCAGCAAATAACTGAACGAATTGGTTCCTCTTCCTGACTATCATATTGAAGTGATTGAGATGTTGCTTACCAAATTACTTGACCCAGTCGTTATGGGGTAGTGAAATTCTGTAGACAGCTGAACATTCACTTGGTGTTGTTTCTTTTTCTATCATATTTGTCCTTCCATTTAAAGGTGCATTTAACAAGACTAAATAATAGTAAGTTTCTTCTTGGTGCATTAAAATTATTGATTTGGTGGCGAGTATTACTGAATTTATGAGTAAGTGTTTACTTCTTTCCATTTTGAACTATCCGAATGAAAACATCTGTTTCAATATAATTGCTTACTTACTCACAGAACACATCGTTAGACCAAGCCACAAAATCACTCACGGAGAGATACTGACAGCTCACTTCATTCTGAAGTTAGTGTTAATGATGTCGTCTAGAAAGACGATGAAAGCTTCACGATTAAACAAACCAGCTAAGAGAAGACGATACAACCAAGACCATCCACCTGAGCTACAAATATTCTCCACTATTTCACTATTTGAATAATTTCTATCAACTTCAGTTGGCCATTATGTTAACATTTCATTTAACGTTATCATCGGTCACATTTCAGAAGGAATAGTTAGTGATATATTTGATTCTGTAAACAGATACGGAAGTCGAACTTCAGATAAAATAAGAGTCCTTTGAAAATGATGCAGTGTATCAAATTTCAGCTAGTTGATACACATCTAGTTTCACTATATGTTTATTATCCATACTTCATTTTCTGTGATTTCCTAATGTAGTCCCGCTATCACTTTTCACTGTTCAATTTCTTCATTATGAAATATAATCTATCTCACAACTGGATTAGTTGTCCTGATTCTGGCTCACGGAACGGACAGAAATACAGTGTATATGTATGTGCACATTATTTTTCATAAGACAAACGATTTTTCTACATTGCTTCTTTGTAAATTTAGCCTTGATGAAGTTTGAAAGCTTCAGTCCAACAATTCTGCTTTGTTTACTTTAGCCGACGGTTATCCACTATTAAATATTGAAATCCTATTGGATCTGATTGATATTTCAAACAAATTTCCTATCATGTTTACCGAATAAATATCATTGCATGATCGATAAATTATCGGAAAATGAATATAAGCGAAATTCTGTTACATGTTGTAATGAAAAAAAACATTCGGTCTTAAAAGTTTGAAGGTTTCGCTTATTGAGAAAAGTCACACTGAAAGATTTTGAGAGAATATTATGAATTGAACTTGTCACAAACCCGGTTCATTTTTACCAGAAAACTTGGGTGTTATCACTTAGAAGTATTATAAACTTTCACGTCATCATTCTAGGCAGTGGACATTCGTTGCACGCACAGAGCTCATGTTACTTGTTGAAATACCAGCAGTCACCTACTGTAAGTAGTCGCCAAAGGATAGATGCTTTGCATATCTCAGTACATGAAAATTTACGTGGTCTGTAAGTCGCATTATTATTTTTTATTGCTAAAAAATTGCAATTTATGTACTGGTCTCCAAATGGTGAGCTAGATGGTGACAGGAATTTAGCCATGGTGGGGTTTAAGCTGGACTATTTGATGTATGTTATTTCTCGCTATGTTGTCCATATGGTGGTCTGTATTTCTTATTACTCAAAGTCTGATGATAGTATCCGGTATGTTGTTAGGCCAACTATATTTTTCAAAATGACTGCATAGACTTCTTACTTCAAGTCTGACAACGTATATTTGAACAGCATAGCAGCCGGCGTGGCACTGCTTTGCTTTCTCATTACACAAGGAATGATTGATCTAAGAATTTCACTTTGTATAGAAAATAACGGATATATGTTACCTGATTATTTTCTTCACTCAGTGAAATATGTTTAACCTCAAGATACTGAATAAGTTCCCACTAAACAATGTTTTCAGCTTCATATCTTAACCAGTGAATATGAAGAAACAGACTGGCTTAAAGGTTTTAGTATTGATTTTATAGTGTGTATAACCGAATATACATTCGGTTAACCCAACACATTCCAATGATCAGAATCTTTACCCATCATATGATCGTAGTAATGATAGCCAAATTATTTCTTGGATTTAAAAATCGATCTATTTTGAAGTCTTGATTGTGCGAACCGCAGAATCATCGTATTTGAAATAACCTGAAGGGTGTCATAGTGTTCTGATATCAGCAGACGCAAACCCTCAGTCTTCAGTGATAAAAGCAGTAGATTGATAGCCGATGTTAGTCCTTACAGTAGTTATCACTATAAAGATCCACCTTTCCCTTGAATGTATTCACTGAAAAAGCTGCTTTTCTTTATCCTGGTTACAAGCTTTAGTCGTTGACCACTTGATAGGGGGATCGGTGTTCTTAAAACCAATTTTGTATATTCTTTGTATTGTA